AACATCCGGTCGGATGACCCCAAGGCACTTTCCCATGTCCCCCTCTCCCTCTTGCCACTCTCTCTCGCTAGCTAAAACGCTAGCCACAGTTAACAAAGAAGTTAACAACTGGCACTAACAAAACCCACTAACACACTACTTAGCACTTCCATTGTGAGATTCAAACGTTACTGTAGCTAGCTAAACTTTGGCCACTAACACTAACACAATCACTAACACGTCCATTGTGGATGCTCTTAATCCTAACTAAATCCTAATCCTAATTGTCTTCTTTTATCAGAAAATTAATTTAATTTAAAATTTAATTAAATGAGAAATGGGTTAAAAATTAAATAGTAGATTAGGGTAATTTTATGGTTATAAATTAAGGTATTTAGGTTAATTTATAATTTAATTTGTTAAATATATATTTATATTTTTAATTTAAAATGTTATGATATAAGGCAATTTTTATAATTAGGGTGTTTAGTTTAATTTATGATTTAATTTGTTAAATATATGTATTCATATATTTAATTCAAACTATTATTAAATAATGTAATTTTAAGAAAATAAATTAGGGTATTTAGTTTAATTATGATTTAATTAGTTATATATATGCTTATTTTAAAATTTTATTAAACAAGAAATTAGATTAAGATAATTTTATGGTAATAAATTAATGTGTTTAGGTTAATCTTATGATTTAATTCATGGTAATTTTCTGTTTAATTTAAAATGTTATTAAATAAGAAATTAGGTTAAAATTTTAAAATTAGTTTAAAGTAGTTTTATAGTAATAAATTATGGTGTTTAGTTTACTATGATTTTATTTGTTAAATCTGTGATTAAGATACAAAATTATATTGATCGAAGAAGTTGATGATGATGAAAAAGGGTAGGGTGTAAAATTTCTCACGGGCCCGTGAGCTACCTGAAGCTCAAGCAGGCTGAGCTCGAGCCCAACATAGAACCCTAGGTCTGGACCTTTTGTTTTGCAGCCCGGCTCATGGCCTAGCCCATTGGTTCACTCTAGGCCCAGTGTCATTTTTGGTGGGGAAAAAAAATATTTGGTGAAATTTTTAAAAAGCAATAAAAATAAATAGTCAGGCTCGTTCGAGGCCCGGCTCGCCAGCCCGTCCGAGGCTCGAATACCCTCTAAGCTTGGGCCTGGTTTTCTAGCTAGTGGCCTGGTCCGGCTTGAAGTTGGGCAGGAGCCCGTGCAGCCCAACATGAGTTGACCTGAGTCCGGGCCGAGTAGGTCGGATGGGCCGAATTTACACCCCTAAAAAAGGGCATATTTGTCTTTTAACATAACATTTTGACTTTCACTAGCATTTTAATCATTGCCAACTCTCCATTTTAGTGCGTAGAAATAGTTTTTGTCATCTTGGACGAAATTAGTAGCGGTAAGGGGGTAAAATGCAAAATGATCAAAATCACAAGTAAGGTTATTGATAACTTCTAAATGACCGCCGCCCAGGGGTTTATTTGAACCATAGGAAGTACAGTGTTTTGGCTTCAAATCACAAAGGTGTAAATTGAATTTTACCCTATATATATTCAGGTGATGTTTGATAAAGCTAAAAATTAAAATTGACAATTGAAAATTAAGTACTGAAAATTGAATATTGAATTTTTTAAGTTAAAAAGTAATTTGATGAAAATTTAAGTACTGAACTAAAAATAATTATTTGATATGTAGAAGATCATATTTGAAATTTATTATTTTTAAATTGTATTTTTTAATTTTTATATTTGTGATGGTGTGATAGTGGTGGTAGTGGTAGTGTTGATGGTACTAATGGTGGCATTGATAGTGCCCGAAAGAAACTCACACACCAAAAAAGAAAAAGAAAAAGACAAGAAAAAAAAATTAAAAATAGAGAGTAAATCTAAATGGATAGGAGATTTTTATAAAAATAGACATAAATGTGAGATAAGTGAGTAATTATCTAGTTTTTTAAATATTGTGAAGTGACAGTATGTCATCTAGGGTGTGTTTGATTGGACGGACTGGAAAATGGGGGATTAGAATCTATCGGACTTGAGTCCTGGGACTGTGAATCCCCCGGACTATTTGGTCGGATTGGATATGTATCCTGTGTTTGTTTTTTCATAGGATGTTAAGATGCAATGAATGAAGACAGGAAAGTTGGGTAGGACATCCGGCAGGTCAACTAGCTGGTTGACCGGTCAAAGGCAAATTTTTATTTATTTATTTTTTTTTTTTGTGAAGGGTCAAGATGTCCGGGGAAATGACCGGCCGAACATCCGGTCGGATGACCCCAAGGCACTTCCCCACGTCTCCCTCTCTCATTCTCGCTGGCTAAAACGCTAGTCACAGTTAACAAAAAACTTAACAACTGACACTAACAAAAGTCAATAACACACTACTTAACTATTCCACTGCGAACCCAAAAATTACTGTGGATGGCATAAATTTTTACCACTGGCACTAATGCACCATTTAACTAGTCCACCATGGATGCCCTAATTGATTCTCTTTATCTTGGCTAACGCCAACCAACAATAACATGTGTCCATGCATCACTTAAACAAGTGCATTCCATCCCAAGAGAATTTATTTTCTGTTCAAGGAGCAACAACCATATGGTGTCCTAAATTGGCCATATAAGAGTATCTCTAGCGTTTACTCAAATTTTTCATTAAATTTAAATAAAAATTTGAGTAAAAGTTTGATCTATTATGTTACACTTCAATTGTTTCATCAAATTTGGCTGGTCATCCAGTCAGTCATCCGACCGGTCATCTGTCCTAAAGCAAATTTTTAGCAAAGCTTTCCCAAGCCGGTCATTCATCCAGTTGACTGGCCAGTCGTCTACCAATGATTGCCTACAAAATTTGATAAAAGATTAAACGCTCCCTTAATTTGATGAAAAATTTGATCTTGTCTTCATTTGATATGAGTTTGATGCCATGATTAAAATAGAATATATATATATATTTCATCAAATTTAAATTTGAATAAATTTGGGAAAGGCCCTAATTAATAGAGGACCCATATGGGGGACATGGAGTCCGGCCGGACATGGAGTCCGCCGGACTAAAAAAAAATCAAACGACGGATAAGGAGCACTATTTGGATTACAATCCAAATAGTGGATAGTCCCCCCTCCTAATCCCCCAATCAAACACAATAGTAAAGAGTTGTACACTTGTTTGATCTCAAAAATAGAAATAACATAAAAAAAAAACATGATGGAACATGTTTGTGTCCAATTGGGTGATTATTGGATAGTTTGAAAGTACGATTATATAGTACTTTATCATAGAATGATTAGTAAATAATGTAAAATATTAATTATTTATATTAAGTGATTGAAGAAGAGAAAAGAAGATAATGAATTGAATTGTGATTAATGGAAAAATATATGTAATACTCTCAAATTATATGATTTTCCGTGTCCAACGACATGGTCTTCTTTAAAATAATTTCTGAAAATAAAGGGCACATACTCACTTTTGTCTCACATATAGATGTGATCATTCTGTAAAAAAATTTATTCGCTAGCACAATTAAAAGATAAAAAAGCATCATCAACCATAGACATGTCATATGAAAGTCACGTTGAGTTTTCATCTATCTGTATAATGAAATATTTCAAAATGGTAAAGTATAATTTTATTTATTTATTTATTTATTTTTAAAATGAAATGGTAAAATGATTTTGAGTTAGACACTATTTATAGCATCCTCTACATTATCACATTTTCTTTTTAATTTTTTTTATAGGTCACATCACCTTCTATTTCTTTGCGTATCTTTTTATAAAAATTAAAAAATATATTTATTTAGATTATTATAAACACTCACTTAGTTAAAAGATATAAAGCGTAATTTTTTTTAAAAATAGTTAAAATTAAAAAAAGCACCATCAGTATCCAATAGGTTATGGATACATAATTTGAATAATGTTGTGGATTGTTTTGAAAAGTAGGTTAAAAGTTGATTTTAATTTTTTTGATTTGTTTTTAAAAAATGTGTAAAAATAAATAAAAAGATAATGTGAATAAAAAGAGATTAAAATATTAACTTTTAATCTCTTGCCAAAAGAATCCTATCTCTTTTATAATGTACTAATAGTTAAAACTATTTTGTGTAACTTATGTGATTGATTATATATTCATATCTTTCCTATGGAAAGTGGTTTAGTTTTTTGATATTTTGATAATTTTAACTTGAGTTAAAAAGTCTCATTTAAAATACGTTTTTTGACATTTTTTTAACTTTTGTAAGAAAATAAAATAAAATAATTATAATTTAAATATGACATTTTATCTTATTGAATTTGTAACTTTTTTTTTTTTTTTAATGATTAAAATAGCTGCCAACTCACATGCTAAACATAGTCATAATGGTTGGCCGAGATTAAACCAAATCAAACCAAACAAAACATTTCATTTTGTATTGTAATTGTTAATAGGACAAATTATGACAGTGGTTCTTTTATTTTGATTTTCGTGTCGTTTTAGTTTTTAATGTAATTTCAATTAGCTTGATTTTGAGCTTAAATTTATAATTTTGTCTCAATTTGATCTAATTATTTACAATTGTTAGCATTTTTTATTTTTATTTTTATAAATAATATGTACATAACCGTCGTATGCTATATTTGTAAAGGCAAAATTAATTATAAATTTATCAAACACAATAAGTTAACCTCAACTAATTTAATAATAATTTTTTGTAAAATACACTAACGATATTATCAATTGAACTAAATTCATACAAAATTTAAAATTAAGAGTCGAGTAAAAAATGTAAGAATTAAAATGGTAAAAGCGATAAAATACAATGACCACTGATAAAATTTGTTCTTAATAGCATTTATAAAGAAAAGTGATATACAAATTTACTTTCTAAACTCAGTTTCTAAATTCAATAATATTGAAGAAATATAATTGATTAATGATTAAAAAATATGTAAAACAAAGTTCAACCTTTAATATCGTGATTGATTATGAATTTAAAAGTTTGGTCTGGAATAGTGAGGTCATTTACAAAAGAAATCAAACAAATAATGCATTAATTCTGGATTGTATCTACAAAGAAACAAACTACATGAAAACAAAAACAAAAACAAAAAAGCTAATAATTGAGATGATGAACACCAGATAAAACTCCATTGATCATCATCTCCACCAAATGAAACACAACCAGACCAGTCGAAGCCGGGACACTCAACCCGACAATCACCGCCATACCCAGAGCCAAGCTCGGCCTCGTGTTCATCAATCCACTCTGCAAAACACCCATTGCTTCACATATGAACTCGTCATACCCAGCATAGCAATTCTTCTCCCAATCCATCCAATTCGCAGGGGGGTCGTAGTTCCTCTCTATCATCTTCATTTCGTGGATTCTCTTCCGCAGAACAATCAAGTTCTCATCCACGATCCTCCCGCTGCGGTAGTTTTGATCTTCGTTTCTTATCGATGCATGTACTACCATTGTTGTTGTTGTTTTTGACACTCGCTTTGGTTGATGATGTCTGTGGCGATTCAAAAGTGGATAAGAAGGGAGGGAAATTGATGATGTTGATGCCATTGATTTTGGGTTTTGAGAATGATGAAAGTGATTTTGGCTTGTGGGTAGTGTTGAGAGACATGGGTTTCAGGTAGATGTATATATAGACGTGTGTGTGTGTGTGTGTGTGTGTGTGTGTGAGAGAGAGAGAGAGAGAGAGAGAGAGAGAGAGACAGAGGTGGGCGGTGATGCGGCATGTGATGACCCATTATCTTAGGCAAGAAAAGGAGGGGGTAGCAAAACCGTGTGTTAAAAGCTTTATTGGATCATTTGTGTGTTTAATTGACACAAGCCCACCACTTTGCGCGTTTGGAGGAGTGTATATTATCCTAATGTTCGTCATTAAGAATTTAATATAAAAAAAACTAATGATTAGGATGTTCCCTCGTTTTGATAATTTTAAATTGCTAATTTTATAAATTTTTTATGCGTATATTATTTATAAAAAAAAAATTAAATATGTCCAATAATCGTGATATTTTAATTTATTACATTTTTTTTAAAAAAATAAATGATTTATATTTAAAAGTATAGTTGCCGTTTATTTTTTTCAGACAAATGTGATATAGTAAAAAAGTTACGATTATCTTGTAGAATTATTTATTTTTTTCGTCAATGATATATAAGGAAACCTTTACAATGAATGCTTTGAATTATCGCAACAAAACTTGTGGTGAATCCCATAAGTCCTAAATTAACGGCCAAAATGCTGATTTTAAACTTGTGAGAGGTCCAATTCAAAAAAAAAAAAAAAAAACCTTTGACCTTGTAACAAAATAAATTTTTAAGTTTTAATTTTGTCAATTTAATCCTAAAACTTTTAATTTGTTTTTAATCTAAACAATTTGCCTATTTTTATTAAGTAAAACCTACAGAAAATATTTTAGTAATTAAACACAATAAAAATAATATTTTAGACATTTTATGTGCATCTATATCGAGTTTAATAACTAAAATGCCCATTTTTCGTTGATTTTGCTTAAGTATGGGTTGTAAATAGAGAATGGCTCCTTTCCATACCATTATTCTCAATACTTCACCTTATTTTATTTTATAGCTTTCATTTCGGATCCATAATGATATTCCAAATTGTTTTTCATAAATTTCATAGTTAAAAATGTTATGCAAAAAATTAGTTTCATTAGATATCAATGAATAAATGAACAAATTACATTTTATTTTATAAAATGGATGGTTCAAGTTTAAACTCTTAATTGTTGTCATTTTAAAATATAAAATACAATTTATGTATGTATCCAGTTATATCCGATAAAATTTATCTTTTGTACAAATAATTTTTACTCTGAGATTTATAAATTGAACAGTTTTGTTTATTATTGTGGGCTCGAAATTGGGCTCATCCACGATCCTACCGCTGCGGTAGTTTTGACCTTCGTTTCTTATCGATGCATGTACTACCATTGTTCTTGTTGTTTTTCACATTCGGTTTGGTTGATGATGTTTGTGGCGATTAAAAAATGGATGAGAAGGGAGGGAAATTGATGATGCTGATGCCATTGATTTTGGGTTTTGAGAATGATGAAAGTGATTTTGGCTTTTGGATAGTGTTGAGAGATGGGTTTGGGTAGATGTATATATAGACGAGAGAGAGAGAGAGAGAGAGAGAGAGAAGTGGGGCGGTGATGCTGCATGTGATGACCCAGTATCTTAGGCAAGAAAAGGATAGGGTGGCAAAGTCGAATCAGGATCCTCTCCTGAGTTTCTCTTCTTACCTCTCTATGTATTGGGTCATTGAACTCATTTTTGAGACTAATTTTGATGATCTGAATCGTTTATATTTTACGATTTGTTAAATATACTAGGCTTGTAAAAGATTAAATTAATCGGATATCAAAAACTACATATTCTGATCATCAAACTAAAAACTATTTTTAAAAACAATTTAATAAACATTTTTCCGAGCACATACATTCTAATATCCGATCAACTTAATATTTTATACGTATAATATACTCAACAAATTTTAAAATATAAACGATTTAAATTATCGAAATTAAACTCAAAAATAAACCTAATAACCTAACAAATACGGAAATAAAGAGATAGAACAACGAGAGGATTCTAATTCGACAAAACCGTGTGTTAAAAACCTTTATTGGGTCATTTGTGTGTTTAGTTGACACAAGCCCACCCTCTTGCGCGTTTTGAGGAGTGTATATTATCCTAACGTTGTCATTAAGAATTTAATATAAAAAAAACTAATGATTAGTTTTTTTGCCCATTTTTATAATTTAAATCGTTAATATTATAAATATTTTTTAAGCATATCATTTATGAACAAATTAAATATATTCAATAATCGTAATATTTTAATTTATTATATTTTTTTCTAAAAGATTGAATGATTTATTTTTAAAAATATAGTTGTTGTTTGTTTTCTTAAAGATAAATGTGATATAATAAAAATGTTATGATTATCTGATAAAATTATTTATTATTCATCAATCATATATAAGGAAGCCTTTACAAAATGAATGTTTCACATTATGGCAACAAAACCCGTGGTGAGTCCCTTGAATGCTAAATTAACGGTCAAAATGTTGATTTTAAACTTGTGAGAAGTCCAGTTCAGAAAAAAAAAAGAAAAAAAGAAAAGAAAAAGAGTTTGACCTTGTAACAAAATAAATTTTTAATTTTTAATTTAGTCAATTCAATCCCAAAACTTTTGATTTGTTTTCAGTCTAAACAATTTGTCTATTTTCGTTAAGTAGAAACTATAGAAAAGTTATTTTAGTTATTAAACTCAATGAAAAATGGTATTTTAGACATTTTATGTATATCTATATCTAGTTTAATAACTAAAATATCCCATTTTCCGTTGATTTTACTTAATGAAAATAGACAAATAGTTTAGATTAAAAATAAATCAAAAATTTAGGATTTGAATTGATAAAATTAAAATTTCAAGGTTTATTTTGTTATAAAGATCAAATTGAGAGATTTTTTTTTTCTCATAATTTTCCGTTTATTTTAAGTATGGATTGTAAATAGAGAATGACTCCTCCCCATACCATTATCTTCCATACTTCGCCTTATTTTATTTTATAGCTTTCATTTCGGATCCATAATGATATTGAAAATCGTTTATCTTGTAAATCTTATATTAAAAAATGTCTATGCAAAAAATCAGTTTCATCTAATATCAATGAATAAATGAACAAATCATATTTTGTTTTACAAAATGCGTGGTTCAAGTTTAAACTCGTAATTGTTGCCATTTTAAAATATAAAATACAATTTATTTAAGTGTCTAGTGATATCCGATAAAGCTTATTTTTTATACAAATAATTTTTACAATGAGATTTATAAATTGAACGGCTTTGTTTATTATTGTGGGCTCGAAATTGGCTCATAAAAAAAGTTTATAGTAAAATATGGAAGATAATATCGAGATGAGTCATTCATTCTAAGGCCAAATTTGGCTACTACAAAATAATTCATCTTTTTATCTTTTTATTTTTTTTTCATCATATCATCTCTCTACTTTTCTGCACATCTTTTCGTAAAAAGATAAAAAGTGCACTTATTTAGGTCATCCCAAACAACCCCTAAGTGTTGAATATAAAAATATTACGTAGTATTCTCATTTATTTTGAAAATATTCTTCATCTCAATGTTTTTTTATTTTTATTTTATTTTAAATGAGCATCTCAATTTTGTTTTGAGTATGACTTATAAATTATTATTTTTTATTTATTTATAATAAATAAAAAATAATATAATCTAAATAAACTATTAATTATGGTGTTGGTAAATCAGCCCTAAACAATGTCTTATAAATATTTGTTAGCATTTGATAAATATTTTATTTTGGAACAAAATTCGGAGGTTGCATCATCTAGAAAGCGACTTCTCTGGGCGTTTTCGAATTGGATTTTGCTTGGAGGGTTTTGACTTTATTGAAGGGGGACGGCGCTTTGTTTGTCCAAGTTCTCTGTACCTTCTTATTCTTCTCATTTTTTTTTTATTTTTTTTTATTTTTTTAAGATCTTACTATCTATTTATATATTTAGGTAGGTCCTACGAACCTTTTAAAAAAATTTCAGAAGTTTTAAATATATTTAGTGGGTAAGGTTGCTATTTATTTTACGGCTTACACTAATTTAATAGAAATAATATTAAAAATGAAATAAAAATTTAAACTTTTTTTTTTCTCCCCCAAAATATGAATATGGGCTTCATGTATTGTAATGCAATTGGAAGTAGGGATGACAATTTGAATTCGATCTGACAGAGATCCCACCCCCGATCCCGATTTGAGTAGTTTTTTTTCAAAAAATATCCTCAACGGGACGAGGATGGTTTTTAAAAATCAATCCCCGATCAGTTTCGGACCGAGGACAGGGATTAGTGTCTTAGCCCCGTCCCCGTCCCGTTAGTCCCCGAAGTAAAATTATCATTTTACCCCTCTCTATATATATACATAAAAACCAAACCCTTCTCTCACACTCATCGCGTCTCTCATCTCCCTCCCTCTCATACTCTCTCCCCCTCTCCCTCTCTCTCTCCCTCACTCACTCAGATTTGTCTCTCTTATTCTCTCACTTCTCATCATCATCATCATCATCCAGATCCACCACCGTGAAGCCACTGACGTGCAGCCACTAATCTGAACTGTGAAGCCACCGATCTGAACCATCAAACCATCGATCTAACAGATCATGGTCCGTGAACCGTCAAGCCACCGATCTGAACAACTCTCTCTCTGTGTATATATATGTGTGTGTGTGTGTGTGTAATGAACAAATCTGTTGTTGTTGATGAACAAATGTTTTTATTTTTTTTTTAAGTTGATGATTGTTGTTCATATATAAATTACATTTTTTTATGATTGTTGTGGAGTCAGGGGCAGGAGAGGTGATGTGTTCCCCACTGGGATCGGGATCGGGACCGGGAACGGGAACGGAGATTTTTTTATCTTTGGGGATCAGGGACGGGGAGTGTCATTCCTAGTCCCGCTCCGGCCCGTTGCCATTCCTAATTGGAAGCCAGAAGGAGAATTCAAATACTGCGGCAGCAAACGTTTATGAAAGATTTTGTATTGAGTTTGGATACAAATGAAAGATGTTATATATACAAATAAATAAATCTAGTAATTTTTTTTTGGTTGTAGAGATACGAAACGAATCAAATGACGTGGCTTTGACTCGTTAAATGTTTGTTTGAGATTG